CCGGCCCGGCTCCAGGCAGGCTATTGCTGGGCGGACGCCATCCCGGCCTTGGGCACGCCCTGAGGCTTGAAGATGGGGGTTTCTTGGTTAAACAACGAATGTGTTTGTGGGCAGCTGCGTGTCTGGTCTGTCTCTGAGCCACTCTCAAGATGGCGCCTCCCGCTTTCCCGCCCTGCCGCGCTCAAGATGGCGCCGCCCTCGGCACCTCCTCCAAGATGGCGGCAGAGGAGGACCCATGGAGGGGCTGGGCAGAGGAGTCTGCGGGCTCCCTGCTCCCCCTTCTTGGTGGTGGTGTGGGCAACGCAGAGCACTCGCCTGCTCCATGTTAGAATGGGATGTTAATTGCTTAAAGTTCACTCTTTTTGTCGGTGGTTTGTGCCCAGAAAGTGGCTTTTTGGTATCAGGAAAACAAGAAATCTGTTCCTTTTGCGTTAATGTTGGCACACAAGTGCTTGAAGAGCCCCCAGAGGTGGGCTGCAGTGATGCTGGGCCTGAGGCTGGCTGCTGTTTCCCCTCAGAGAGGAAACATTTCTCATTTTCCCTTATAAAAAAAGAGCTTTTTGTCAGGTTAGACCCCTGCGTTACCTGACCCAGAAGCAGCAGAAGCCATTCTCTGCTCTCAGGTCCTTCGGAGTGTGTTGGATGATGTGAATGTTCCCCCCACTTCACCAGCAGCTCCGATAACTCGTAAACCTGAAGAGCACCCTTGTGTCTCAGCCATCTGGCTTGCAGGTGTCCTTACCTGGTTTAGTCAACTTAGATCCTGGTTTAAAAATGAAGACATGTGGCTGCGATATTTCCTCTGTGTCCCTGCAAAGTGTCACCTTGCTGAAATTGTAACAGAGGTTCCTGAAGCATTGAATACTTCAGGAACTATTTAAAAATCCGTAAATGCTTACATCCAGCAAGGGAGAAGAGGGATTAAAACATGTAGGTGTGACATGTTGCCTCGCCAAGTTTGCTCTTTAATGTTCAGATCCAGCCAGAGGAATGAAACTCTGAAGAATCAAGTGATGCTCTTAGTGCTGAGAGCCCAGATTTCTTTATAGTAAGAATCCCTTAAGCTATTTTAGGTGTCAGTGGACTGATGAGGCTTCAAAGTCTGTGTTAGCTGGAGGAAAGAAACCTCTGGGGAGCCAGACTGTTGGTATATTTGCATACCAGTGAGTTAGTGGCTGATTATATTGAAGCTATTGTAGGACTGCCCAAAATATGACATAAATAGAAATTGTGCTCTGATCCCCAAGGTCTGAGCCCGCTGTTCTGGCTTTATTAGGTAGCAGGCTGTGGTTTTCACAGTTTCCCTGCAAAGCTTCTACCAGGTCACCTTGGTGTCGTTGTCCCCATAGCTCCAGCTGGCTGTGATGGTTGATCACATGAAGATGACAAACTCATCTCCAGAATTCACCTGATAGTCAGCCTCCCGGTGTCCTTGCTGCAGAAGAACTGGGAGAGCCATGTATATCTAGAGCACTGCAGGGAAGCCCCGGCATCCCCATGGACTGGGCAGCAACAAAGGCTTTGAAATCTCCCGGCCGTGGTTCAGGTCTCCTCTGTGATGGATGTTTGGTTTTGTAACTGCTTACTGGTTTCTTTAGGCAACAGCCTCATTTTGACAGACTGTTCTTGGCTGCTGCGTGCAGCTCGCGCTTCCAGCTCCTCTGGAGATACTGGGAGCTATGTTTTGGGGCAGCCTGTGTGATTTTTGCAAGAAACAGTAGTCAGGCAGGGTTCCTGTTCTGCTGGCCAGTGGTATATTGGCTTGTGGAAAGAGCCTTCTTAACCCTGTTTTTGCTCTTGGCTGCAGCTTATCCTGTACCATGGATTCGCTCCTCTGGGGTGTACATAGAATCACAGAATCCTAGACTGGCTGAGGCTGGA